AAAAGTCAGTTTTTTGTAAAACTGTTGAAATATAAGACTATGAAATATACTACAAATCCCAGAATCCCGGTCCCGCATGCTGGCTCTTAGGGAACCGACAAACTCCCCTTGTATGTACAGCTCTCAACTTGCCCAGACTTGGAGTGATTTTCACCTCTTTTAATACTTTTCACCTCATTCTGAAAGAAAGAAGTGAAATGTGCCAACGTGACGGCCGTCTTGGTGTGTGGTGCGAGACGGGAGATTCAGTTCATTGAGCGGTTTCACACAAACAAAGTGTTACTTCACAGTTTTACGACACATTTAAAAAAATTTGACTTTCAAAATTATCTTTTAAATTGACAAACATCATATGTGTAATTCGTGGCACAATTCAAACGGGATCGAAAGATAATCTTTCTCTCTCCATTGACTTCAATACATACTTTTTCAGAAATAAGCTCCCATGGAGGTCCCCCGGAAAGGGAGGCACTTCGCCTCTCTATAACGTACAATGTGTTGAAGCACTAGCCAATAGAAACGCAAGTGATACGTAGTGATGTCAATATGCTACAGAAATTTGGGATTTTAGCCTTTGCAGACCATTTACAAACATTTACAACCTTTCAAACACGCTACAGGAAAAAGGAAAACCCAAAAAGCATAACAAGGCATCTTTAATGACATGGTTGTTTTGTTTAAAGAATAGCCATTGCTCATGCTCATAGGGATCTTAATAAAGACATCAATTGTGCAGACCTCATCATATCAAATGTCCTGAGACATTTGAACGCCTCACTGTATCTTCTTCTATCTACAGAGTGACCTTTAGGATCAAGCTGCTCTTTGCTTGGTCTTAAAACCTTCTGTGTGTGTTTGAGCTTCACCGGGAATCTTCAGACCAAATGGTTAGTGTTGATTCACGTTCTCTGTGTGTGTCCATTTGTGTGTGTGAGAGAGAGAGAGAGTGTGAGTGCGTGTGTTTGAACAGAAAGCACGCGACCCGTAGATAAGACTTTGTTTAATCAAGGCGAGTCTGGCCATTACAATTTATGACGCTATTGTAGCAATCTGCTCTGAGCTGGTTTGTATTAGCCGTGTGTGTGTGTGTGTGTGTGTGTGTGTGTGTGTGTGTGTGTGTGTGTGTGTGTGTGTGTGTGTGTGTGTTGAGGAAACAAATATTTGTACAATATCCTTGCACTCTGTGTCTTCTGTAAAGGTGTCAAGAATGTGTAACTTTTGAACATGTTCGTACCGAAGCTGGAGGCGTTGTTGAGCGTGAGGTTGTGCATCACTCTGGCTCCAAAGAAGCTCCACCTGAGGAGGAAGTCCTGCGCTCGCTTCTTCACCGAGCGGCCGCTCTGCTTCCCGGGCTGATCAGAGACACAGAAGCACAGAAAATAAAAAGATTGCTTTGTTGCACAACGGGACCTTTTGCAGGACAAACACAGCGTCAGAGGGAACAGCTGTTACCTTGATGACTTTATGCTCCACCACAGAGTCCAGCCACTCGATGAAGGACTCCACCGTGGCGTTCTTCCTCAGCAGCTCCTTCAGCTCCTGGAAGACGGTGATGGAGTCGTCTGGAGTAAAAAAAACAAGAAGAAGTTGCTTTATTATTAACATAACAAATGCTTGTTAGCTTCAGAGCAGCGGAAACAGCTGTTGGTTGTTTCTTTAAAACAGAGAAATGTTTAGAGTCAACAAAGTAAAAAATCTGTCTTAACTTACATTACATGTTACTTGTTAGACGCTTCTATCCAAAGCAACTTACATACTCAATACTGTGGGCAATCCCCACAGGAGCAATTTGGGGTGAAGTGTCTCAGGGACACAACGTCATGCTGACTGCAGTGGGGTTTGAACCTGACCACCTGATCCGAACACCAACGCACTAGTCCACTGCGCCACAGCCTCTCTAATTTCATGTTCTGTTCATATCATATTCTATTGACATGTATATAGACTTTTTGCACTAATTTTTATTTTGTATTGCATTGCTGGAGGAGTTCAGGTCAGAATAAATGAATAGCCATTTCTACACTGTAGCTTTTTGCAATAAAATCTTTTAAATCTTGAATCTTGATTCTTCCTGGTCTTACACTCAGAGTAGATGTCGGGGTCCTGGTCTCCAGATGTGTTGATGCTGAGCAGAGGCTGAGAGCTGATGCTGCTCAGATCCACGTTATCGATGTCCAGCACCATGCTGGTCACCACAGCCTGGTCGAACAGCGCCGGACGGGCTATCTGGAAAAGACATGTTATTATCCCATATATATCATTAGAGTTGTATGTAATCTATGTCCTTCAGCAGTGGTGGAAGTAAAAGGACAAATATCACAAGTAAAAATACTTCTGCATTGCATAGTTACTTAAGGAAAAGTAAGTAATCAGCTAAATTAAGTTAAAGTACTAATTGTAAGTACCTAATGCAGATGAATCAGAAATCCTTTATTAGTCCCAGAGGGGAGACTTGTACAGTGTTACAGCAAAGGTACTGTACATTGCAGGCGAGGCAAACATAAAGTTGGATTAACAGACTCACATTACATATAGAGCTAAGCAAACTTAATAAAATAAAATATATCAAGTGGCAGCATTATAAAGAAGGGAAGTTAAGAAAAAAGACAGAGAATTCCAAATTAACTAAATAGATCAATTACATTAAGTACAAAATGTTTCCTTCCATTTGTAGGTGAGTAGAAATAGAAAGTACCTCAAATAACAAGAATACTTGAGTAAATGTACTTAGTTACATTCCTGTCCTTCAGTAAAGGTCGTACCTGTGCCAGGTGTAAGAACGATGTCTGTCTCTTCAGAGAGGAAACAAAGTGGCGTGCTATGGGGAGCTTCTTTGCTGCAAGGCATTCTGGGAGGTTTTCCAGGGAGGAGGCCAGCCAGTGCTCCCAGTGTTTGGCAAAGTTGCGGATATCTGCCAACAGACTGAAAAACAACATTTACACAGTTTATCAGTTTTCTATTCCCAGTGTATGAATTAGAGCTTCATCGTAGTTCCACAAATGACTTATTTTGGGATAGACTGGACTTGTTTAAAAGCCACAACCTTAAGGACTCAAGCAATTAGGATAAGCTATTGTCACACACAGGCTAACAAACAACAAAATGCAGTTGTAGTTTAGTCAACAGTTAATAAATCTGGTGAAATTGTATCATGCATGATGGAAACAACTGACAAAACTCCAAAATGAATATCAAGGCATTACAAACTTAAAGGTGGGGTAGGTAAGAATGGAGAAACCAGCTTGAGTGCGCTAGAATTTGAAAATACACCACCAGGAAAAATCTGCCCCTTCCTTCAGACTTCCTTACAGAGCCCCTCCTCCAACACACACGAACGCGCACATGACCAATGAGGGCACGAGATAAGTTTGTGCACAGATGGAAGGCTGACAGGCAGGTAGGCCATCCAGTTACTTTAGCCGGGCCGGCTCAGATGATTGGTCGTGCTTTTTACAGCGCCACGGCTTCCACAGATATGATGTTTTAATGTATTTATTTTCAATGCATTTAATGTATTCATTGCTATCGGGATGTTAAGAGCATTCCTTGGAATATAACAAAAAGTGTTTCTGAAGTGAATTACCTACCCCACCTTTAAGCTTACTGTCAAAAAGGAAAACTGAATTCAAACATGTGCGATATTCCAGGACAGGAAAGGGCTTTCAGAAATGTGTTTTTTACTTTTTAGCACCAGGAACTTATTCGACAATAATGCATTAAGGTAACAAACCTCTCAGGCATCTCCTGCATTGTAGCTGGAATCAGAACATCTGTTAAAACCTGAGAAAATAGAAAACATTGTTAGAGTTTTCACTGTTCGGGAGTTGAGAGGTGTGTCCTTTTCTCAAAATAGACACACCTCTCCATATTATCATATTCATAAAGTGTATCCCAATGAATAAAACAAACACAGCAAGACAACTAATGTAAGTGTCCAGCTGCCCAAAGTAAATGGTTATAAATACAACTTGCTGGTAGGCTTAAAACTAAAACAAAAGAAAGTCTCTCAAACCGAATAAGCAAACTTCACAATTTGTTTAACTGAAAGTGTGAATCTTTTTTAAATGATACTACAACCTGGGCCTGCACACAAATAAAAATTGAAAACAGTATTTGTTATTAACCTTATAGAGGATGGAGTCACAGACGCAGAAGATGTCGACTATAACCGGGTTCTCCAGCAGCGGCAGCAGGTGGTCGGGCATGCCCTGCCAGAAATGCAGCAGAAAATTCTGGATCTGAAACAAAAACAATACGTTTGAAAGGATGTGCCAGGAACCGCCGAATGCTCTCATGTGATGGTGATGGTGTAACTATAACCTCCTCAAAGTTGACGTTAATGGCGTTGTCCAGGATGCACTGGCAGTGTG